TCCTCCACCCATTGTCATGTGTTGTTAACAGTAATCAAGAGTGGTCTTTCTGGTGGGCGTGGTCCTGATCTTTCTAGGGAGGGATGAAAGAGCAGCATGATCAATAGGAGACAGATAGTATCTAAGGCCTCCACCCCTGTTGAGTGAGGGATTTTCTATATGCACATGTATGGCCTCCCTGACCCCCTCTCTCAAACCACCTATCTTCTCGATCCAATAATGGAACTAATAATGGTATTTTTAGTTCTTCTCACATGCTTTTGGCACGGCTGTTGCTAGGGCAGGACAACCAGGGCTGTGCCCCAGAGCACTGACCGGTAAATCTACGAGTGTGGGAAAATAAATGGCAACATTTTTGAGCCCTATTAACTTTTTAAAGTAATAAACTTTCTCTTTATGTTTGCTAGTTTAGTTTTGTTTTTTTGGAAAGGAGGAGAGTATTGCATTCTCCTCCTTTTTGTTGGTTAGGTGTGTGTGGAAATTTACCCTCTTCTCAGGGTGGACTTGGTAGGAGACAGTGTTGCTTCTGCCAAGTGCCAGAATTGTCAGTTAAAACTTTGACCATGAAATCTTCATAGTGTGTCACCGTTTAAACCAATTAGTGTTACTACTGTAAGAAAGGGGAAGCAAGGGGGAAATCCTTGGATGGAGGGAGGGAGGGTCTCCTCCATTCTGCCACCCATGAGCTTTGTTTTTTGTATCATGCTCTTCTATGCTTTAATACATTCATACACATCATGATTATCTACATTTTAAGTCCTTCCCCCACATCAGTTTCGGAAATTGTTTTTCTGTGACTGCCTGGGTATGACAACTACAGTACACAGAAAAATATGTATATATGGGTATGTATATATGCATTTTCATTTATTTATTTATTTATGATGTTTTAACCTTCCAGTCTCCTTACAAAGGACCCAAGGTAACTTACAACAATTAAAAGACAATATTTACGTTAGTAAGAATAAGTATACAATACTAAAAGTAGTAATGAATACAATACAAAAAAAAACTAAGCAACACCAAAACATATTCAATGCAATAAGGTACAACAATCATTAAAAAAAAAAACCCTCTGGGCAGCCATTCACTCAGGGAAAGCATATTCTTATGGGATTTTCATATGAGAAAGGTCTTCACTGCTTGTGGAAGGACAGTAAAGATGGGGCCAGCCTAACCTCCTGTGGGAGGGAGTTCCAGAGTCAGGGAGCATTTTAGCAATTTCTAAACAAAACCAGGAAAACAGGAGAGATGAAATCCCTCCTCTTCATAACAGCCCCCCACCCCCACCGTCCATCCCCCAGAACCAGTTCTGAAGGGCTGGGAAACCCTCTGGACTGTTTTCAGTAGGCTGGAGGTCTGCAAGGGAAGGAGCATAGTTCCTTCCACTAGTGCAAGGTTGGATTTAGCCCATTATTTATTTTTAAGTTTGACATACGTTTTGTCTTTCCATTTTGAAAATGGAAAGTGTATACATGAATATTAGTTTTGTTTGTGACCTTGATCATGTGTCCCTTTTCTATTATTTTAAAGAATTTATAACATTAATAAGTTAGTATATTAGGTTTACAAATTCTGTCCCTAATGAAGATCAACCAACCTGAAATGCACAGGACACTTAATTTACTAAAAAATAAATAAACGACAGAACCTGTGGTCCTTGTGTTCTACAGTATATTTGTCTGTGGACAGATCACCAAATTCTGTATGCCTATACAAGCACCCTGAACCTAGGGTTGTGGTAGATGAAAAATCCAGGTTTTAGAATGATATAAATCCATTAGTGTGTTATGGAATACAATGGAGGCAAAATATTTTCCTTGTCGATAAATAGGAAAAATGTCTATTATATTATGGTTTGCATAACTTGTTTTGTTTCAGTTTGTATGTCACCACTTATTGACAAGTAATGGCAGAGACTGTAACTTATAACTGTTTGAATAAACAAGCAATGCAGAACAAAAACCTTTATTTGAACAATCTTTGCTCATACAGCATTGGAGGGTTTCAAGATTCAAATAAATAAATTGCATTGGCAGAGATGGCATTGAATACAGTCACAGATTTAGATGCAATAGACTGCTGAGCTCAGATCACCTGAGTGTAATATTAGATTATCTTAAATTTCATTGCAAAGCATTTCCCATTAGCTTTAATAAACCTGAATAAAATGGTATAACTGATATGATCACATCTACATCAATAGTGTGGAAGCTTTAATTAGAAGATAATGTGATTTTTGTATGTAGACTAATCAGCATGGAAGTAATATTTTCTAAATATATTGTTCTGATTGACAAATTTGGAAGAAGTGTGGCACAGTTATCTTTATTCAGCAATTAATGCCCTTTGTGTTCAGTACAAACACACATGCTTTTTAATATCTCACTGTAATATCTTACTTCATTTAATAATAGTTCTAACAATGAGTTTGAATGATGAAGGCACACATATCAAAGCCAACAAGGAACAAACTATACTACCTGAATGGTTTCCCCCGCTTCCTTTGAATAACGGTGGGCATTTTTATAAGTAATGAAGATATTGAGCAGAGCAGACTGCATGCAGATTGTAGCCTCGGACTTAAAGTGTTTCAAATGCAAATAGGAACAGTTCTTAATTGACGGTAGGCAAGAGTTAAACAGGACCCCGTTTTGGAGATTGCTCATTCATGGGGTCTCCATAAGTCGAGAGTAACTTGACAGCACATAACAAGAACAACAAAGGTAGCAAACTATTTTTCTAAATGATACATTGTAAAGAAAGAGCCCTTTGTTTCATCTTGTAGATGAATAATTAGGCTTGTGGAAAATAAACTTCCATATACCTGTACCTGAATATGGTTTTATCATTCTTTCATATACCCACAGAGTAACTGAGCATGGCGTTTCTCTACCTTTCAATGAATATTTCTGTGTTGTAAGTAGTTAAAAATCTATGTCGACCAAGGGGGAGTCCTTGGCTTAGTAGTGGAGCCTCTGTTCCGCACTAAGAAAATCCAAGGTTAGGTATTCAGTACAACAGGGGGGGAAATCCATCTAGTAACAACAAGACCAAATTAAATGAACCAGTCGTCTTACTTAGCAGATGGAATTCCATTGTATATTTCCTCCATCTTTAATGCCAGTGGCATAACCTTCAGTATCAAATTAGAATAACATTTACTATCACACACCAAGTCACACAATGGTTGTGTGATAGGAAATGCTTATGCTGACTTCACCAGTTGCTGTTGAAAACGATGCTACTAGTGCAGTATTACACTAGTGGGAGTAACCAATAGGATACAAATACAGGCAGCTTCCCATGTCTCTAAGCTCACTAATTACTACATAATTGTAGTCACTGCAGGCAAATCCAACCAGCATGGTACTGTGGAATATTTACCCCTGCTGGATCAGGGGAAAAGGTAGAATTTGGGCAAGATCTGGACAGTTCAGAAAAGAAAGCAGGGTGCCATCTTCAACTGATATATCACTTACCATCATTGCTTCTTGCAGTGTTCTTCATCCCCATCAGATAATCCACCTTATTTATACACTTCCTCCCTTTGACATCTGCCTCTCTGCCTCCTTCTACCTCTCAGATCAGTTTCCCTCCTTCTCTGCCATTCAAAGGACCACCAATACTTCTTTCTGCTTTATAGATCTCTTGATTCTTGCTCTTTCTTGTGTGATGCACATCAGAATATCACCAAGAAGCCTTGTGATTCGATTGTGCTAAGAATGAAAAGAGATTCAGGGAATTAAAAGATCCAAGGTGAAAGGCAAGAGTAGCAGCACTGAAACTGCTCCTTGCCCAAGAAAATCTCCTGGCCCTTTATTTACTGCATGAAATTCAACAGGGGGAAATAATCAGGAAAATTTTACTTGTTGAATTCCTTCAAGATATGGGATAGTCCTTTTTATTTAAAAAAGGGGGGCATTGGATGTAGTTAGCAAAGATAAAGAGGAATTCCCACATGCATGCTAAGCAGAGTGCGCTTGCAAGCAACTCTTAAGAACCACTCAGGCTAAAAACGACACAAAAGGATAGCTATAGTTGGTTGTCTCAGGAGCACTCAGAGAGAGACGCATTTTGAGGGACAGAGGCATCCATCCAGGGAGGTTTATTACAAGGAAGACCTAAGCGCAAAACCAGTTCTGAGGTAAGAAGGGTAGAAAAAGAAGAAGAAAAGAATGTGGCCGTGGCGTCAAGCGCTGCCCACTCGCTGCCCTAGGGATAAATCAGTTTAAAGGGTTCCTGACGAAAGCCTGGAGGGCTGTGAGCGAAAGTGAGGGGACTACGCGGCAGAGTCCGACGCCGGGACCGGAATGTGAGGGAGTCGATGCTGGGGGAAGCGAGGGGAAAGAAAGGGGGCGGGACAACGGCTCATTCCAGAGCAGGGCGAAGGAAAAGGTAGCGAGACCAGGAGGAGAGAAACAGAAGCGCGCCGGGCGTCGAAGGAGAAGGAAGGGTCGGGGCTTGGAAGGCAGGGGAGAGCGCGGGAAAGCCGGCGAGGGGGATAGGGGGTGAGGTGATAGGAAAAGCCCGGGGAGAAGTGGCAGCCGGCTCGGGGCGAAGCTCCGCGCAGAAAGAGTACTGAGAAACCTGAGGGTCAGCCCTATTCGTCGGGCTCCCGGTTCCCACTCAGAGAGAGGAGGGGGCGCTTGGGCACCGCCCAGGACAGCCGCGGCGGTCGGATTTCAGCAACCCTACATCGCTCGAGGTTGAGTGCGGGCGCGGGAGCGAAGGCGGGAAAGCGCTGGGAGCCGACGTGTGAGGAAGCCACCGCCGCGCCATGCACTTCGGAGA